ATTAAACAACCTGGTTTGCAATCGGCATTGAGCATTGACTGCCCTTTGACATTTTTCATTAATTGGCACCTCGAAGCAGATAATATTTTTTTATTGGGCTTTATATTACCTTCTGAACTATTTGTAACTTATTGATTACTTTATTAGTCAATGAATATTGACTCAGTGATATTGATGTTTATCCAGACTTTTCCATGATTGCTTGAATGGCCATCCTGCATTAAAAAAATAAAAGGAAACGTACATTTTGAAGTCATTAATAGAAGCTGACGTGGATGTTAGTTTTTTTCTACCTTATGTTCAGATAGGGGGCAGTGACAAAAAGCAAGCTGTCTCCAACATGTGAGAGACCTTGATTGGACCATGTCACTAGGAAAGGAAAGCTTCCAAGGTCAGAGGCCTTGAGGCTTGACCATTGATTTAAGCCCTCCTGCTCTTCACAGTAGCATGTCTAAGTCTCATTGCTCCTTGGTAGCACATCTCAGCTTTACTGCTCCTTAGCAGTATGTCAAAGACCAGGGATGTAGATAAGGGGGAGGATAGGGGGGTCCAAACCCCCCGCCCGGTCAGTAGTCGCCTAGGCGTGCACCGATCGCGCTGTAGGTGTGCCATTATTTTCTAATTGCAACCTAGTTGCGCCGGGTGGATTGCGCTAAAACAACCGCGCGTTGTTTACCTTTTTTCTGCAATTGTAGTGCGGATGTCACCCCATTGAAATCAATGGGGCCGCACGGCAATCGCGGCCTGCATTGTGCAGGACCGTGCGATCCCAGGACTCGCGTTCTTGGATCATGTAGGCCTGCACCAGGCCTGAGTGTAGGCCTGCACCGGGCCTACTGCATTCTAAGTCCAGAGTCCAGTTCGTTTTATGTCCAGAGTCCACAGTGTGTACTGGGGGGCAGGCTCATAAAGAGAACCTGTCCCCTACGAATGCTATCACACAGGAACTTGTTAACCCCTGTGTGATAGCAATAAAGTTAACTGAAAAAAAATAAAAGAAATTAAAATAAAAAAAACTTATAAAAAGTAAAAAAAAAACGAAAACATTATTAATGATAATAATCTGCAGAGCCCAACTTGAGACCCCCCACAGCCCACCTGCGACTCCACACAGCCCACCTGAAACCCCTACAGGCTACCTGAGACCCCAGCCCACCTGAGACCCCAGCCCACCTGAGACCCCGCATAGCCCACCTGAGACCCCACTTAAGACTCCCCACAGCCCACTTGAGACTCCCCACAGCCCTCCTGAGTAGAGTTGCAGCTAACGATTATTTTCAAAATCAATTAGATTTTTTTAAGTCTTTTGAAAACATGGCTTTTATCCACATGGTGTTGAACAACAAAATTGGTATTGCTCAGGGTAAAGGATTGGTTTAGGAATGATATGACATTACCACTCCTAAATAGCATGTCTAAGCCTCACTGCTCCTTGGAAGAACATAAGCCTTACCATTCCTAAGTAGCATGTCTAAGCCTCGTTGCTGCTTGGAAGTACATAAACCTTACCACTCCTAAGCATGTCTAAACCTCGTTGCTGCTTGGAAGTACATAAACCTTACCACTCCTAAGTTGCATGTCTAAACCTCGTTGCTGCTTGGAAGTACATAAGCCTTACCACTCCTAAGTTGCATGTCTAGGACTTATTAAAATTTCTTAGCCTTACCACTGCTGTTTAGAAGCACTTCTACGCCTTCTGCCTTACCACTGGTTAGTAGGATACTTTCAGTGATTTAAGCTTAAACAACACAACTATTACACAAGTTATTACAAAAATAAACACTTTATTACATTTTTCCAGATGTCATATACATGATAGCAGCTCATACTGGATTATCATATACTGGACATAAAATATACAAAGACAGCACAAAACATACTTTCACAAATATGATTTATCATTGTAAATGGTTAATAAAACTCTTGAGTTGAGTTTAACTTTTGGCTGTGTGTATATGTGTATCAGACTCGGGTGAACTCACCCATAACATGAATGAATAACAAAAAATACAACACAATATATTCCCTGTTTACATTAAACATTTCCAATATACATTCAAAGTCGGTTGAATTTAAAATTTGGAAATATTTATTGTCTTATACTACTGAATGTTCCATAGCAGATAGATGAAAATACTCTGGAGGTCTGAAATGAAAAATCAGACTTTCCCCAAAGCTTTTACCATACATAATGAGACCAGAGAGTTTGAAATAGAACAATTACAGCCCTGAGCGATCTACCATTACTTAGCCATCATACCCGTTGTTCAGGGCTAGTCAGCATTCCTCCCATTAGTGGAGATAGAGGTATAAAAAAAGAATACGCAGTTCCAAACCACAGACCAGTGATAACACAGGTCTCCAGCAGTCTGCCATTGCTGTCATGTTCCCTGCACTAGCAGACACGATATCATAATTACAGCAAACCAATTTCTATAATTTTGCAGTCTTGGCATTAGTATGGAATGCTTAATATGGCCCAATACAGCCTAATAAAAGGCAGCAATGTCACGGTTTCAAGCACACAGACATTCCGCTGCCAAGAGTCACCATTATCTAATTTTATTCAAATAAGAAAGGGTAAAGATTTTGACCACAGGGGACCAAATCAGAAAGATTTGCAAGGATCAGTAATCACAAAACTCATTCAGGGATAGGCGCATCCCTCACCCCCTGCAATTGCTGGCCTGTATATGGATCATGGAACACCTTTCCTAGACTTTTTTTTATGGAAAATTAGTAATCCAAAATGCCTGAATTTAAGAAGCCAATGTATAAGCTCAATAAGGGCAGATATCTGAAAGCTTGTGCAAAACAATGGCTGAGAAATAGAGTTGTTACCAATAATAACCATATAATTTGCCTAATTTGAAAGATGAAGGCACAGTGGGTTGAGGTAGGCAGTGCTCCCCTTTTGCTGTTTGGTGCACTTTCCATGCAGAGCAATTTTAAGGATCCTATTTACCACAAATGTTAAAAAACAAGAAGTGGTTTCATTCTGACTGTTCAAACAGCTGATGGTCTGATGGCATCCCTGGGCATGAGAACAAAACTGAAGTAAAAATAGTATCTATTTTTACTCCTTAGGGTAACAGGAGGACACAAACTGGCGCCCTCCCGTTACCCTAAGCTCAGCATACCACGATCTACACCTCGCGGTATACTGAGACGCCGCAGCCTGAGCGGATCCCGACGTAGATGACGGGATCCGACCCACTTGCTTGAGTGACAGCTGGCTCTGCCTATCTATAGGTAGAGCCAGCTGTACCCTCCCCCGTCCGTTCCGCCAGTCAGCGCTGGCAGATCGGAGCGGGGAGAGGGGAATCCAGCCCTCCCCCTGTCACGGCAGAGAGCCGTGACAGGATCGAGAGGTGAGCGAACCTGGTATGTGTTCGCTCACCTCCCGATCTACTGAGCCGACCTGTGACAGTCTCATTGTCACAGGTCGGCTAGAACTATGAGGTGAGTGGAAATCACTCATCTCATAGTTCTCCTTTAAATCTTAAATGAACAATCAGGCATTTTACTTGTTACAAGGCCAGGCTGTATACAAATGAAATAATTTGGGGTCTTGCCGGCAACAAAATAATGACTGATAGTTTGTGATTTGAAATGGCCAATAGCAGGCTGGCTATTGCACCTGCCCAATACCTGCTGTATTTACATTCAGCTGCCGTCTGCGGAATCTTGCCACTGGCACTTGTCCCTGGCTGAAGCTATACAAGCACCATGTGTTTACAATACAATTTCATAAAAATAAATTATGAAAGATGGGAAAAAAGTAATTTTCGGTTTCGGCCTGACAAATTTTGCCGCGGGAGGTGCATTGCAGTGCCATTCATTTCAATGGCACACCAAACGCGCCTCCCACCCGTAGTGTGATTGCCCGACACTGGAACGCACGGTACCGCAATGCCGCGCATTCCAGTGCAGTGCAATTGGAAAACATTGTGATTTTAATTCTGAAGCAAACTTTATGTTTGTAACACTGCATTTGTGTATTTTATTTTAAATGAAGGATGGTATTTATTAAAAAAATGTATCCAATTAATCAAAAATGATCAGCCAAATAATCAATTATAAAAATAATTAATAGTTGCAGCCCTAATTCAGATGAAACTATCAATTACTGAACTATCCACATTGCTCTTTGCCTTATTACCTATGTGGCTATCTGTGTTTCTGGCAAAAGAAAATCACCAAACAATTATTTTTGAAATAAATCTGTTACTGTTTGGGATGATCAGTATTCACAACGAGGCAGCCAATCACATTTTAGAAACCAATGACATCCTTAGTGTTAGATGTGACACAGTGGTATCACCGGCTGCTAAGAAATTGCTATTTATTAAGTGTTCAGAAATATATTTTCGCTTCAATAATTTATTTTCATCTATCCACTACAGACATATTTTTGCTGTATTTATTGTTTGTGTATTTTTTTTAAAACAACAATCTATATTTTAGTGTAATTTACAAATAGACAAAAGTAAGACATCATAAAAAAAATCCTGAGTTCAGAGAATACATAATATATAAAAGATACTATTTTCTACAAAATATGTTTCATATATACATGTCATATGTTCTATTATATTTTATTACTTCATTATTACAGTGCATATATAGGCAAGTAGCAAACAAAATTGGGCGAAACCTGATTAGTTACTATGGGTAACCACTCCACCTTTGCTCCAGCTTTTGTAAATCGACTTCAGTGAACCCTATTTAACAAAGACTCCAAAAAAAAGTTTACTTCTAGCTGCCTGTGGCAATCACACATCTTCCTTTTCTACAGTGCAGCTCAGAAGATAAAAGGAATGATCTATGCGGTTGATACTGCCAAAGAAAACAGTAATTTTTCCAAAAAAACTTTAAAGGACCCTTACAGTGATGTCCAGTAACTCACAAAAACAACACTCTTATGCTGCAAGGGTTTCTAGGAAACCAGCTCTCTCACTGGACTACCTATGACACAAAATTCAAGGTTCTGATAGAACATTTTTCAAGGCATACACCAAAAACAAGAGGTCATGGTTTAGAGCTATGACATAATCAGACAAACATAAGATCAATTAAAGAACCATAACTTCCACAGAGTCTCATAATACACTAGAAAGCAGCAGTAGATTGATAGATTAATGGGCAACCAGATTCCATTTTGTGCATCACAAAGTGGGTCATAGAGCCCCATATTCACAAAGTGATTAACAGCAATGTAATTCAGTGTGCTATTGATCGTTTGATTGTGCGCTAAATGACTTTTGTTGTTCATGTGTGCATCTCCTAGCTGAGGTATACACTACCCGTTTACAACCTTGACAGGCATGGCTATTATAGGGCAAAGGATTTGTAGTCAAACAAACCAAAACATCATCACACATTATATAAAGTCATTTGTTCCTCAGAAAATGTTCAAGATTTGTCACAATGGTCCATCTTAAATTTTTTAAAAATGAGTAGACTTTGCATTTAGAGCCTCATTTTCTGGGCTGCTAGCACTCCCTGCAACCTTTACTTCCGGAGGCTCTACACACAAAGAGTCAACCGTCGTGTCAGCATCAGTGTTTAAGTCATTACTTCGGTACCATACTTGAGATGATTTGCCTTTTTTCAGAGCTTGGCCGTTGGTCTCGGCGTAAGGGACGAGCTCCTGGCTGCAGCAGAGGTAGGCGTCACATTTACTGGAGATACAGGGGTTGCTGCAAGCTAAGGAGAAGTCTTTCTCTTCGGTAAACTCGGCCTGAAGAGTGACGGCATGGACCCCTTCTGAATGAAACACCTTTCGGATCTTGCGATTGGATGCCAGGTAGTCCTCAAGGCTCTGGAACTTAACGTGAAGTGTTGCAATGTTCTTCCCACTTGCCAGTTCCCATATGTGGATTTCGTGGATACTTTTCACCCCAGGGATTGAGGATAATTTATGACCTACAGAATATGGAAAAAAATAAAAGAAATGAAAGATGAAAAATTACTAAAGGTGCAGCAATTGCACTTGAACAAACTGAATCAACTGACCATAATAGGTAATAGTCATTTGACAGTTACTGACAGAAATACACATTTTCTTAGGAACAAACCCATATATTGAAGTTTGACACTTGACTGAGGTTATCCTCTTCTGTACAAAAAAACAGAAAGTAGTCCCTTAAATCCCTTCCCTCCATCTCTTTAAGTATGGTCAATTTGAATTTGTTGATAGACGTCCCCATACACTGTGAGTCCGACAGTGACCACTTGAAGATTTCCGACTAACCATTTGATGGTTATTCAACTATTGTTCACTAATCTGAACTTTGGAAACACCAACAGTTCTCCAGACTATCCATATCAGCTCAGATCACCAGGAACAATCAGACCCTAAAATGCCTGTTTTTCTATTTATTATACTCATCTTCTAAGCAGTGTGTGCCAGATGACCCATCAACTTTAAAGGTACATGCTACAGTAAAGTGTATCTGAAGGTTTGTTAAGCCAAACCATGTTAAATTAGTCTGCAAGTCCCAGCACTGGGTCACTTTGTTACCCAAACAGTAAGAGAAAAAAAAAAGGTCTAGCAATCGCTCTGTGGCTGACCTCTACAAGTTAAAGTGGACCTTTACCCCCTTTTACTAAAAATCACACCAACATGCAGCTCTGCATGCTCATTTAAAATCGTCTTATATTCAATAGCTAAACTTGTTTTTCATTTCCTTACAAATATTGTTCATCTACTTCCTGGTCCACTACTGGCACAAATGATGTATGTGCCAAAGCACTGCATCCTGGCAAGGTTACATCAGCAGAGCATTGCTGGGAAATCTCATCTGTAATTTCACGAGTTCTCAGGGAAAGGCATTTTCTTCCCATGAGATGATGTGCATGGTCACATGTTCTAGTCACATGTGCCAGAGTTTCAGGACGTAAATGGAGATCTATTAATCTGCCCTTAGTTAACATGGCCACTGTCAGAAGACTGGGAAAGAAAAGAGAAATAAGGAATGCAAAGAATACAAAGCCGGCAATTATCTAGAAGTATGTGTTTGTAGATTGTCATTACTAAACATCTCTAAAGGTGCCTTTGTTGTTATTTTAAAGATATGGGCGAAGGTCCACTTTAACAAAGTTGTATGTAGGTACCTGGGTGTGCCTGCATTTTTGTCCTTCAGAAAGTTTAGCAGGTTTATCATGCCTGTAGGTTTACCTGAAGGTTAATTATGAGGAGCATGAAAGAGGCAGGTACTTAATCAATTTAAAGCTGACATGACAGGTGCAAAATGAGGGGAGGGAACTAATTTGCTAAATGCTAAACTATCCAGCCCCACTTGCTGGCAAGGAGAGGTTAGAAAACCTGTTCCTAATTTTCAAGTTAATAAAGAGTAAATAACAGGACTTAACTGCTACAATTGCAAGTATCTGTAGAAGGTAAACATTGCCTCGAGGCACTTCAGTCACAGAGCCCTGTTGTGTCTATAGGGGAATAGACATTGGAACATACACTATATGGCAATACGTACATTGAAAGGAAGTACCAGGAAGCTACACCCTCCATTCCTTATGCAACAGAGTTGAGCTAAGCTGTATATCAGAAAATTATTTCAGGGTTTCCCCAACAACGTAACATTTGGCTCATCATAGCAAACATATAAAACCAGGAGGACACAAGCATATTAGGTGAAGTTATATGAAATCATTGGGCATCAGTTCAAAAGCATGGATCAGATATCCTTTGCACGTGAACTGTGCTGGTTTTGGGCTGTATATGTTTATTTCCTGGTATGGGAACAAAGACACATAGAGAAATCCCAGCCAAGAGCAAAGAGACACTGGAAATGGCTCAAGGAGATTATCCTGTAAATGCTTCATTCCAGTAAACAGTTATATCACGATGAGCTAGTAATGAGCATGGCACCTCCCTTAATTAGTGCAGACACTATTCATACAGATCAGCGCACAAAAGGAGGTTTGTCCGGTTGTAATGTCAATCAGCAATAACAGAATCATTTCTCATGCCCAGAAATACCAAGCTTTTTTGCACAACCTGGCATGGATTGACTGGGTGGTTTTTAAAGGCTAATTCTACACAAATCTAAATTACATTGGTGGGCTAAGTAACCCTTCTTGTTTTTAATCAGGGACGCCAAAGGCATTGTTGTACTGGGTTTAGTGGCTGGATGTAAATACTACAATGGGAATATCTTGCTGCTGAGGTCCTCAAGACTAAGAATCCAACCATTGGGCTCCCCATGTTCAGGAAATTCTGGAATTTCAGGCTTGGGGTGGCTTACACCTTGCAGCACTGGGGTCCTAAGGACTGCTTTACTGGAAAAACTACTCCATGAAGTTTTATGTTTTCTCTTAGTCTGTGTAGGTTTTTTTTGGGTGTTTCAGTTTATTATTATTATACAGGATTTCTATAGTGCCAACAGTTTGCGCAGCGCTTTACAATATACGGAAGACATTACAATCAAAATACAATTCAAAACAAGATGATAAGGAGGGCCCTGTCCCTGAGGGCTTGCAATCTAAAGGGAGGGGGAAGTGATACATAAGGAGGTAGCTGTGTGGGGATGAATTGTTTGAGAACATGATGGTTGAGTGGTTGGGTTGAGGTGGGATAGGCTTCCCTAAAGAGATGAGTCTTGAGGGATCGCCTAAAGGCAGTCAGAGTGGGAGATAGACGGACAGGTTGGGGTAGAGAGTTGCATAGGATGGGAGAGACTCTAGAGAAGTCCTGGAGGCGAGCATGGGAGGAGTTGATAAGGGAGCTGGAAAGCAGGAGGTCTTCTGAAGAGCGGAGGGGACGGTCGGGGTGATACTTTGAGACAAGGTTTGAGATATATCTGGGGGCAGAGTTGTAGATGGCTTTGTAAGTCATTGTTAATATTTTGAATTGTATCCTTTGGGCGAGTGGAAGACAGTGTACGGATTGGCAGAGGGGGGTTGCAGACACTGAGCGGTTGATTAGGTGAATGATTCTAGCAGGAACATTCATGATAGACTGAAGGAGGATAGCCTGTGTAGAGGTCAGCCAATGAGGAGGGAGTTTATGCGTATAACCCAAAAAAAGCTTTAAAGCTGAACAAACAGAAGAAAAGCTGCCCGCACACCGAATTGCGCTGGGATAGTTTATTGGAACTTGCACCACATCACTGGTGTCCCACCCAAGGTACACCTTAGTCATAGAGATGGGGTCATCTCTGTGACTAAGCCTGCAATTGGGTGAAACGCATCAGTACAAGCGGACCTTGGGCAGAGCAAGCAATTTCAGTTCAGGAGGGGAGCCTGTACAACTGTGCAAGACTGAAAAGAAGGCCAGACTTCAGCTTTAAAGAATCTTAAAATGATGATAAAATACAAATACAAGTAATTAATAATATATTTTCCATATGTAAAAGAACAACTGAAAAAATATTTCTTACCAATTTCACCAACGTTAACATCCTCGGGGACCATTTGGAGTAAGATGGTGCCTGTTTCTTTGATGAGGGGGAAAGCAGAGAATAATATGATCGCCACCATGACTACGGTGAGGCCGGGATCAATGTAACACTGCCAGTTGCAAGGCTCGTCACGGCGCAACGGTTTGACATAAAATATGATTGCTGCCACCACAACAACCACTGATCCCAGCGCATCTCCCATAACGTGAAGCATGACACCTGCAGGTAGAACAGAAAGAAATATTGTTAATTAAATGTTTTAAAATCTCTATTTGAAACTGAAGTCCAACCAAAACTGGGATTTCAGTGTTTTGATAGATATTGGATCAATGACTTACATTGATCTTAAGTCCCTAGGTTTGCAAGCCTGGACCTTCACAAAGGAAAGGTAAGTATAAGCAGTAGAGCACTGATTGAACCTCTTTGAGTGTCAGTCTTGATATCTGCCTCCTATAAGCCCACACACCATCAGCAGTAGGGAGGAGCTCAGATTTCCGTCAAAACCTGAGCTCCTCCGAAGAAGGAAGTGCCATGACATATCCACCAAATTAACTTTGGATTGGGGATCCATGGATGTAAACAAAGGGGCAGGATGCTTGTTCTGACGTCATTTGCCTAATATGGCCACAAAGCCATATTTAGTGAATGCCATTTACCAAATATAGGTATGTAGCCATATAAGGTCAATGACATCACTGCATCCCACCCCTTTGCTTACTTCAAGCTGATTGGGTGCCATGGAAGGCACTCCTTTAAGGTTTGGAGGAGATCAGGATCGGCATGAACCTGAGCTTGTGCCTAATCAGCAGTCATGACAGGAAGACGGGAAGAGAGAGGGACTGTGTAGGCCACTCAGGCTCTATTATATTGAACAGTGCTGTCAATCTCATCCCTAATCCTCAGTCATGGCAGGAAGACATATCTGTAAAAAATAAGTCAAGGCAACTGAACTTGTTGTATTTTTCTTGAAGACGTTTCACTGGACATACGACCAGCTTTCTCAATTTAGAATGACTTTCTGAAAAATAAGTCAAGGCAACTGAACTTAGGACTTTCTGAATTGAGAAAGATGGTCGGATGTCCAGGTAAACGTCTTCAGGAAAAATACAGCAAGTCCAGTTGCCTTGACTTATTTTTTACAGATATACCATGACCTGGATGAATGAAAACCTTCACAGACATGGCAGGAAGACATGAAGAGGAAGGGACAATGTAGGTCACTCAGGCTTTATTGAACAGGCCTGTCAATCTAACCCATGGGCCTTTCGGAATGGAGAAGAAAGCACAGATATGACCTCATCAATGATAAGCTATGATAAGCTATCCAATCAAAATTCTTGACCAAGCCCTACTGCTTCAATTCCAATAGATTCAATTTCAAAAAGTGAGGTCAGGGGCCTGGCTATGCTGGCTGTTAGGGATACTGGATTGTAACAGTGTCCGCATATAAAATCAGTTTTTATTTAAGTAAGTCAACAAATGTACACCATCATAGCAGTCCTCATGTGCAAAACACTAACTCGTTTCACCACTCAGGCTTAATCCTAGAGATCTCTATGATTAAGCCTGATTAAGCCTCTAATCCTAGAGATCTCTATGATTAAGCCTGAGCGGTGAAACACAGAGTTTTGCACATGGCGACTGCTATGATGGTGTACATTTGTTCACTTACTTCAATAAACCTGTGGAGTGTGGCTGTGTTGAATTCAGAAGTTATTGGATGTGAGTCCGGTTTTGGGAATTGGAGCGGTGGGGATTTCTTGGAGCAGTGTCCGCACAAAGTCTTGGGCATGGGCAGTTCCCATGTATGTACAGTATATTCTGTGAAGGGAATTTATCAAAACTGGTGTAGACAAATTCTGGAGCAGATTTGCTGTGTAACCAATCAGCTTCTCTCTCTCATTTTCAAATCTTACCTGAGCAAACTGAAGAGAGATGCCGATTGGTTGCCATGGGCAACTGCTCCAGTTTCTGTCTGCTCCAGTTTTGATAAATTCCCCCCTATGTATTTTGCTTGTTTTGTGTCTACACATCTGCTTTTATGATCCCTCCCAACAGAAACATTTACCTCTGATGTTGAGGGCTGCCGCGTTCTTATTGTCACTCTTGGACTTTTCATCCTCGGGGTCGGAATCTTGGTCTTCTAGAGAGTCACCTGTAGCCAAAGAAGAAACGCTGTGTTGTGTATAAATTCTACAAACAGAAGAAACACCGTTTTTTCAAAAGATCAGCTTTGCCAACAACAATGCAAAAACAGGGTTTTCTCCAACATCACTGTCAGTTTCATATAAGACCGGCAGTCTCCATTCACTAGCAATACATCATGGAAAGCCAATTTCATTTTAAACTGATAATTCAGGGTTAGCCGGAGAGTCCAATGACTCTCTGGTTTTATATTAGGGCTGCTGCTAACGATTATTTTCATAATCGATTAGTTGGCCGATTATTAAGTTCGATTAATCGGATAATAAAAAAAGGCTCCAGTGATGGACTACTAGTTTCTATTGAGATTGTAGTCCATCACAGGAGCAAGCTTGGCATGGTGGAAGTAAAAAAAAAAGTGTGGTGTGCAATATAGTACATTATACAGCGGCGCAATGCAGAATACCAGCAGCTATAGAGGAATGCAGCAATAGTACATTATACTATAATGTACTATTGCTGGGATTTGTAGTCCTCTGTAGCTGGCGTTATTCTGCATTGCACTGTATATAATGTATTATTGCTGGGATCTGATGTATTCCTCTATAGCTGGCGTTATTCTGCATTGCGCTGTATATCATTTATTATCGCTGGGATTTGTAGTCCTCTA